CAAAAGCCACGATGGCCACATGTGCAACACATACCGACCCTATTACCCACCTGCCTCCCCTGAAACTTCTCAACCCTCGCCCCTCGGTTTCAGCTGAGTCAACTACACAGACCCAGACGAAAAATGCCGTTGAGTCGCCCCTGGCTGGACGCTCGGATGCCCAGGCGCCCGTCACCCCCGTACCCAGGTTGGCCGGCGTCCCAGCCCGCCGGCTGTGCGTGATTCACGTGCGGGTCAGGCCGTCCGGCGTTCTAGCCCCCAGGCTATGAACAGTCGGCGGACCGGACCCTCTGGCCACCATACGAACATTACCTCCCCTCCCCCCACCACAAAACCTGTCGAAACACGCCCGAACGAAGTCCGCCGGTCCCGTCCATCGGTGAGGGTGGCGGTGGGACGGCCTCGGTCTGTTTCGTTCGGGCGATTCCCATCAACCGGTGGGAATGGATCCTTTCATCACTAAATGTCTTTCATCTTACAGTGGAATTGTCGCGGCCTCATTTCAAAATGGTTCGAAATGAAAGCACTTTTTGCCGTATTAGCTCCAATCATCATTGCCGTACAGGAAACATGGTTTCGTCCCACCGACACGTATAACTTTAAAATGCCAAATTACTCTTTATATCGCTGTGACACCACGGACGGTGAGCGTCGCCAAGGTGGGGTGGCGCTGTACATCAGTCGAGAATTAAGACACACGCCACTCACTCTTAACACACCTCTTCAGGCTGTTGCATGTTCAGTTCGACTGCATGGCCGTACCATCGATATATACTCAATATACATTACACCAAATTATAATAATACGGAGCTCTTACGGCAACTTGACCAACTCGTTGCTCAATTTCAAAACCATTTTCTCATCCTCGGCGATATCAACGCTCACAGTCCAGCTTAGAGTAACGGCACCCAAGCCGTTGATCGCCGAGGACATTTGGTTGAAGATTTTATTGATGCACACAACTTAGTCCTGCTAAACAAAGGCAACAATACTCATCACCACTTACCCACTGGTACAGAAACAGCCATCGACCTGTCGCTGTGCTCTCCCTCAATAGCGACATATTTTGATTGGACTGTTGAGGGAGATATACACGACAGCGACCATTTTCCACTTAAATTTTACACCACTTTTGACGCAACCGCTGAAGAAGTTTTGCGATCCATACCCCGCTGGAATTTACGAAAAGCAGACTGGGCCAAATTTCAAGAACTGTGTTATGTGAACCGAAACTGTTATGAATCACCAGAGCAGGGTGTTGGCCTTATTACACATATTATTCATGCTGTAGCAACCGCGACAATTCCACTGACTAAAACCCCATCACGCCGCATCCCAGTACCATGGTGGACGACCGAAGTTAAGAACGCTATTGCGCGTCGGAAACGTGCTTTCCGCTGCTTTCGTCGCCACCATGATGTACCTCGTCTTCTTGCCCGAAATTATGAGCGTGCTCGAACCAGACGAATTATAAGGTGCCAAACGTCATTCTTGGCAAGTATATATCCAGCAGTTCACTGTTGCTACTCCTCTAAGCCAGCTATGGGGACTGGTTCGAGCACTGTCCGGAAAACGCACCTCTATTTCAATGCCTACTTTACGCATTAATAACCAAATCATTTCGGCAACACCTCTTATCACCAATGCTCTTGCTGACAGTCTTTCTCAGTGTAGCTCATCCGGAAATTACCAACCAGGATTTGTGGAAGGTTAGCTTAGGTTAGGTTAGGTTAGGTCAGGTTAGGTTAGGTTAGGTTAGGTTAGGTTAGGTTAGGTTAGGTTAGGTTAGGTTAGGTTAGGTTAGGTTAGGATAGGTTAGGTTGGGTTGGGTTGGGTTGGGTTGGGTTGGGTTGGGTTGGGTTGGGTTGGGTTGGGTTGGGTTGGGTTGGGTTGGGTTGGGTTGGGTTAGGCTAGGTTAGGTTAGGCTAGTTTAGGTTAGGTTCTGGTATATTCTGGCTCGTCTGTTTCATAAACTTACCTACACGCGATAAGAAAGATATTTCATTGCATTATTGTTGTTTCCTTGACCCCGTACATTTTTTGTGGTTCTTGGTGTGCAGCAATGTTGTGACCATGCACCGATAGCGTAGCAATGACGATGGGGAGTCGAGAGTGTCGCGTGTGTGCTGCACTCGGGAGATCGTTTTTGTAATTACTGAAATTCGAAGATAGGAACATAAATCTATGATATGTTCTTCCTTAAACACGACGAATGATGTCCAACGTTCCTTTTTAACATAAGGTACCAATGTATACGTACACTGCACTACCCGGAAGACGATATGCCCTAAGGCCTTTAGGATATATCAATGTCATACCCATCCGGCAGAAAATTCTGTTCTGTAAATAAGTATCAAGTGTTTTTCCGGGCACGTTTCCTAACCGCCTGCCCACGCTCCTTGCCGATCACCAACCGACTGCCCGCGTCCTAGAAGCAGCTCGCAACCAACTAAGAATTGGAATGCCAGAATGGCTAAGGTTTTTCACTCCAACACGTCCTCGAACAACAGATCCTCGAGAAGATTTAGTACGAATTCTTGCTAAGAGGGGGACGGTGTTTAGTACCCATTTGTGCTAAAAGTGGCGGAGTTTAATACATATAGATACTAAACGGAGCAGCCCGGTAATCCAAGACTGACCAGAGGAAATGAGGCTGTGTAGAGATGAGCGTCATGAACTTCTTTTCTTTCGATGGGAGTAGAAAACCTTAACCATTTTGGGATATCAATTCCCAGTTGAATGCGAGTTGCTCCTAGTGCGCGGCGAGATCGGTCGGTTGGTGGTCAGTGGGGAACCTGGTGGAAGTGGTTGGGAAACGTGTCTAGGGAAGCTCTGGCGCGTAATGTACTGAAGAATGTTATCTACCGGCTGAGTGTGATAATGACATATCCTGGACTACAGGGCATTGGGAAAGATATTGCCATCCGGGTAGTGCAAGGGATGGGATGCTAACCTCGAGATGTGGCTAGCATCAGACTTGGGTATGACTGAAATGTCTGGAACCAGGTCCGGACTGGCTCACAGAGTGTGGAATCTGACTCAGGTCGTGACTCACCTGTTTCATTTTTCATTTGACTGAGTTCAGACTATTTACATTGGAGCACTGAGAGACTCGTGCCTCATGCAGATTGCAAAATCAAATATTAAGCTCTGGCTCATGTTGATGTCTATGTATGCATAAAAATGTATATATATATATATATATATATACATACTCTCATTTCTGGCTGAGATTTGGCAACCTTCATTATGAAGAACATGGGCTTTTCTGTTTAGAAGATGTGATAACAATTCTGTGCTGATGCCGTAAAAAGTTTATACCTTATGTCGCACGGTGTTAATTTTGACACCGAGATGAGACGTGAATTTGCCTAGAGCGCACCATATTTTCTTGTGCTGCCAATTTGGCCTCAGCCATATGGTTCACTCACACAGCCTTTTGGGAAATAATTGGCTCATGACTCAGCTCATGGAATGTTTGATAAATGGATTCATGTCATGACCCAAGCTAGATGACCAGATGCAGCCTATAACTCACCTCAACATGATTGACTCATGAAAAGATTCTCAATGCAGCCTGAGTTGAGCATAGTTCTGGCTAGCATGTTTATACATGTGGGGGATTTTGCATTTTAGTGGATGGTTACCGGTCACGGTGATCATGTCAGGCACCTGGCATTATTTTGGCATGTTAGTTGTGTTGTTGAATTTTTTGGTATATCATATTTGACATTACCACTACAAGCCTACATCCTCAGTTTCTGGCTGAAATTTTGCAAATGCATGTTGTGTTTCCAGATATCGCCATGTCAATTTCAGCCATCAATATATTTCCGGATATTGCCGCTTCAGTTTCAGCCCCTAACGCAACATTGGTAGAAGTGATTAGTGCATGATTAAGCACACAACATTTGTCAAGAATGTCGATTATCCTGTAACACAAAGTAGCATTTTTCCAATGGCCTGACTCAGGTTACAACTCACCCTAAGATCTTTGACTCTTGAGTGCCTTGGTTGAGTACAACTCATGGTTCAGTTTGAATCAAATACAAGTCTGGTTACCGTACCATGTGTCCTGGTTTTATAACTTGCTTGCAACTTGCTTTGAGTTGAGTCACAAGTATGAGTCCTAGATGTGAACTCAACCCTTAGGTGTGCACTTAAGCTGAAGATACCTGATGAAGCAAAAGCTAATATGCAATATATATGTTATTGCATGGATTAAGTTCTTGAACTTTAAGCATGCAAAGATAATTGGGGATTTAGCTGAATACAGCAGTCCTCAGTTTGGAAGACCTGCCTGCCATCAATATTAAGTGATGATGACTGTGTGTGTGTGTGTGTGTGTGTGTGTGTGTGTGTGTGTGTGTGTGTGTGTGTGTGTGTGTGTGTGTGTGTGTGTGTGTGTGTGTGTGTGTGTGTGTGTGTGTGTGTGTGTGTGTGTGTGTGTGTCTGTGTGTGTCTGTGTGTGTGTATGTGTGTGTGTTTGTAAACCCTCCTAAGTGGGGACCGAAGTCCGCTACACTCACGCAGGGTGAGGACCGTTTTCAAGGTGGGGGCCGAAAATCGGTCCTCATTTTGCAAACCATTGGAAAACACTAATTTCGTCCAGATATTGGTCTGTTATCAATCCCTTAGAGGTCCCGACATGGTAGGTTTTGTCCGCCAAGTGTATGTTTCATAGTCACGTGACTTAGGTTGACTTACACAAATCCGCCGGAGAAGTTTCTCGCCTTTCGACTGAAATGTGTGACGTCGTCTTTGAATAGAGATGTGCTAATCTTGTTGTCACCTTGAATGCACCATGTAGTGTTGATTTCACAAGACAGAATTGACTGAAGTAACTAAATGATAAACAATAGTTATTTTTATATGCCTTAAGACGTTTAATAATGACCAAACATTAACAATCATATAGTTTGGCGGGGCACATGCGTAGTACCCATCACTACTGATTGTTATGGCAGACCTTGGCCGCGAGTTGGAATGCCGTGGTGTCGCGTCGCTCGGTTGGCGTCTTGTCACGCGATCAAGGGACGTGAGATATTACTGCGTGGTACTTAGTGGTGTTCCTGTGGGCTGTCAAGATATGGTAAGTACTGATAACTGCATGATGTTCTGTACTGGAAGCTCTGTTTTTTAAGTGCATGAAGTTTCTCGTACTCGGGTGCACCGCAGTATCAGGGACAAGGGAAATTCTTCCAACTTGATGGCGGTGCGGCAGTTTTCTGTTGAAACCTCTGTAGATATGAAGGAGGAAGGGGGCAAGCATTAGGTGCGCAGCGTTATGTGGGGCAATGCAAATTCTTCCAACTTGGTGGTTGTGTGGCCGTCTTAGCGTTGCATCCCATGTAATTGTCGACGGGAAGAGGGGGGGGGGGGGGGGCATCAGCGTGCTTTTCACGGTATTCTTCAAGTACTTCACCTTTTTTAGAAGAAGAAAAATCTCCACCGCGAGCGTTTTACGCGCAGTGCGGCACGGGCTCAACCAGCTCGCGTTAGCAGGATTGCCCAACTTTGAAATCACACAATCCAAACGACATCTTTAGCACCAAAAATAAAGAGCAGGCAATTAACATTATACACTACGTCGTTTCGACCACTGCTACTCACAATGCTCGCATGATTGCCTATCATCTTCAAGAAATAACCATCTGATAATATAATAATTTCGGTCACAAACAGGTGATATGATTTTTAACACGCAGCCGACGACTTATAGCATGTACTAAAAGGGCAACATAAGCACCAAATTATGTACATTCAAGCAATCAAGAAAAGTATCCCAGTTCTTCACATTCGTGTCTCGAATTGATGTTTCCAAACAGACAGCACAGAAAAAAACCAACAATGTCGGCGGAACTGAAGCATTTCCAGCAGTCTTAAAAAACGGACCAAGCCACGGGAACCAAACACCGAAGCCAAGCCAACGTTTTCGGTGCGGTACATTGACGTATATTAGCGCAGTGCATCTCATACACGAGTCCGGATAATGTGATTCACACTTATTAGGACCAAACACATCGTGACGACATTGTCGCTTAAACTACAACACTTGGATTCAATTAATATGACTATTCCGTTTGCCGTGACATGCTGCCATCATGCCGTGCAGAGGGACTATCGTAGTACCCTCTTAAAGTAGTGCACCTCTTGTACAGTTCCAACGAGCAATGCTTGAAATCGCTCTGACATCCAGAGACATACTCTGCCGAGATAATATGCCAACAGCCACCCTAAGGAAACGGATCAAGCCTCGGGAAACGAAGACTGAAGCAAGGCCAGCGTTTTCGGTACGGTACATATACGTCTGTTAGCGTAGTGCACCTCACACACGAGTCCGGATAATGCAATTCACACCCTTAGAACTGAACACGTCGTGCTGACAATGTCGATGGAACTGCAAGACTTCGGTCCGATGAATAAGACTCATGCATTGCCGTGAGATGCTGCAATCATGTCGTGTAGCACCCCCTTAAAGTAGTGCACCTCTTGTACAATTCCAACGAGCAAGGCTTGAAATCGCTCTGACATCCAGAGACGTACTCTGCCGAGATATTATGCCAACAGCCACCCTAAGGAAACGGATCAAGCCCCAGGAAACGAAGACTGAAGCAATGCCAGCGTTTCGGTACGGTACATATACGTCTATTAGCGTAGTGCGCCTTACACACGAGTCCGGATCATGCGATTCACACTTATTAGGACCAAACACATCTTGCTGACGATGTCGGTGGATATGCCAGACCACGGTCCGATGAACAAGACTCATGCATTGCCGTCAGATGTTGCCATCATTGGCGAACGGACTGCAGTAGCACCCTCTTCAAGTAGTACACCTCTGGTATAATTCCAATTGGCGGGACCTAAAAACCGCTCTGACATCCAAAGACATACTCTACCGAGATAATATGCCAATAAAAATCCTAAGGATACGGACCAAGCCTTGGAACCGAAGACTGAAGCTAGGCCAGCGTTTTCGGTACGGCACATATGCGTCTATTAGCGCAGTGCACCTCATGCACGAGTCCGGATCAGGCGATTCACACTTATGGAAATTAAACACATCGTGCTGACAATGACGGTGGAACTGCGAAACTTCGGTCCGATGAATAAGACTGATGCATTGCCGTGAGATGCTGCCGTCATGTGCGGACAGGCTGTAGTAGCACCCTCTTAAAGTAGTACACCTCTTGTATAATTCCGATTGGCGAGACCTAAAAACCACTCTGAAAGGCAAAGACACACCCCGCCGAGATAACATCCCGACACGAACCCTGAGGAACAAAGCCAAGCCCCGGGAACCGAGGACCGAAACAAAGGCAACGGTTTAGGTACGGTATATATATATATACGTTTAGTCGTGCGGTGCACCTGAAACAAGAGCCCTTACAACGCGATTCACACTAAGTAGAAATAAACACATTGTGCCGACAATGTCGGTTGAGCTGCAATGGTTTGATTCAATGAATAAGACTCATGCACTGTCGTGGGATGTCACCATCATGTGCGGACAGACTGTAGTAGCATCTTCTTAAAGTAGTGCGCGTCTTGCATAATTCGTTGGCGAGACCTAAAAACGGCTTTGTCATCCAAGGACACACTGTACCGAAATAACGTGTCAACAGCAATTCTAAGGGAACGGACCAAGCCCCGGAAACCGAAGACCGAAGCGAGGCCAACGTTTTCGGTACGGCACGTATATATTTGTAAGCGCAGCGTACCTTATACCATCGTCAGCAAGATGTGTTTAGTCCTAATACGTGTGAATCGCATGATCCGGACTCGTGTGTGGGGTGCACTACGCCAACAGACGTATATGTACCGTACCGAAAACGCTGGCCTTGCTTCAGTCTTCGTTTCCCGGGGCTTGGTCCGTTTGCTTAGCGTGGCTGTTGGCATATTATCTCGGCAGAGTACGTCGTTGGATGTCAGAGCGGTTTCTAGGTCTCGCCAATTGGAATTATACAAGAGGTGTACTACTTGAAGAATGTGCTACTGCGGTCCGTCCGCCAATGACGGCAACATCTGACGACAATGCATGAGTCTTATTCATCGGACCGAAGTCTTGCATATCCACCGACATCGTCAGCAAGATGTGTTTAGTCCTAATAAGTGTGAATCGCATGATCCGGACTCGCGTGTGAGGTGCACTGCGCTAACAGACGTATATGTACCGTACCGAAAACGCTGGCCTTGCTTCAGTCTTCGTTTCCCGGGGCTTGGTCCGTTTGCTTAGCGTGGCTGTTGGCATATTATCTCGGCAGAGAACGTCTTTGGATGTCAGAGTGGTTTCTAGGTCTCGCCAATTGGAATTATACAAGAGGTGTACTACTTGAAGAGGGTGCTACTGCAGTCCGTCCGCCAATGATGGCAACATCTGACGGCAATGCATGAGTCTTGTTCATCGGACCGTGGTCTGGCATATCCACCGACATCGTCAGCAAGATGTGTTTGGTCCTAATAAGTGTGAATCGCATGATCCGGACTCGCGTGTGAGGTGCACTACGCTAACAGACGTATATGTACCGTACCGAAAACGCTGGCCTTGCTTCAGTCCTCGTTTCCCGGGGCGTGATCCGTTTCCTTAGGGTGGCTGTTGGCATAATATCTCGGCAGAGTATGTCTCTTGATGTCAGAGCGATTTCAAGCCTTGCTCGTTGGAATTGTGCAAGAGGTGCACTACTTTAAGACGGTGCTACGACAGTCCCTCTGCACGACATGATTGCAGCATCTCACGGCAATGCATGAGTCTTATTCATCGGACCGAAGTCTTGCAGTCCCATCGACATTGTCAGCACGACGTGTTCAGTTCTAAAGGTGTGAATTGCATTATCCGGACTCGTGTGTGAGGTGCACTACGCTAACAGACGTATATGTACCGTACCGAAAACGCTGGCCTTGCTTCAGTCTTCGTTTCCCGAGGCTTGATCCGTTTCCTTAGGGTGGCTGTTGGCATATTATCTCGGCAGAGTATGTCTCTAGATGTCAGAGCGATTTCAAGCCTTGCTCGTTGGAATTGTACAGGAGGTGCACTACTTTAAGAGGGTACTACGACAGTCCCTCTGCACATGATTGCAGCATGTCACGGCAAACGGAGTAGTCATATTAATTGAACCCAAGTGTTGTAGTTTAAGCGACAATGCCGGCACGATGTGTTTGGTCCTAATAAGTGTGAATCACATTATACGGACTCGTGTATGAGAAGCACTGCGCTAATAGACGTCAATGTACCGCACCGAAAACGTTGGCTTGGCTTCGGTGTTTGGTTCCCGTGGCTTGGTCCGTTTTTTAAGACTGCTGGAAATGCTTCAGTTCTGCCGACATTGTTGGGTTTTTTTTCTGTGCTGTCTGTTTGGAAACATCAATTCGAGGCACGAATGTGAAGAACTGGGATACTTTTCTTGATTGCTCGAATGTACATAATTTGGTGCTTATGTTGCCCTTTTAGTACATGCTATAAGTCGTCGGCTGTCCGCGTGTTAAAAATCATATGACCTGTTTGTGGCCGAAATTATTATATTATCAGATGGTTATTTCTTGAAGATGATAGGCAATCATGCGAGCATTGTGAGTAGCAGTGGTCGAAACGACGTAGTGAATGAGGTTAATTGCCTGCTCATTACTTTTGGTGCTAAAGATGTCATTTGGATTGTATGATTTCAAAGTCGGGCAATCCTGCTAACGCGAGCTGGTTGAGCCCGTGCCGCACTGCGCGTAAAACGCTCGCGGTGGAGATTTTTCTTCTTCTAAAAAAGGTGAAGTACTTGAAGAAAACCCTTTTCACCTCATGTTCCCATTTACCCCTCAATGGGGTGCACCATTCTCACCTTACCCGCATGCACTGAGTGGGGGCGTAGGTACATAAAGTGAGTAGGGGGGGGGGGCATTGGGGGGGGGGGGGGGGTGGGGGTTGCCAGACTTGTGAAATGATGAAGCCTAACCCAAAGATCATCAACAAACCAATTTCTCTCTGAATTTGGCGCCATTTCATTTCTTAGTTGACAGCTGTAGCTTGATTTCGGAGGGGGGGGGGCCTAGAACCCCCCTTCCCTAACGGAATAGGAAACGTGAACCCTGATATCGAGTAGTGATGGCAGGAAACCTTAAAGCCTTTCAACCAGCAGATCAACACACGAGATGTGAACAGCCATGCTTTTTGGAAACTGCAATTAATGCGTGCTTGATCACTTCAGAATGAATGCAACTTTGACCAGCATGGCCCTAAAAGCATAGTGATCTGCAGACTAATCTGCTTGTGGCCTTCCACGTCATGGGGAGCAAATAGCTTTTCCTGCCTGCTCACACCACGTCATGTCAGAATGATATGCCAGTTAATAAAACATCAAAACTCAACTTTTCGACCAATGCAGTCCTTGGACCCTTCCACAGCTGCTTGATGTAGCAGTCTTTTGTAACCTGGAGGTGCAATTCTTTTGTTTTTATTTCAGTTTCCATGAGATAACACAGAATACACTAGGTACCTGGCCCAACTCATTAATCTATTGAAAATGTGCATATTGCATATGCTTTCCACCCTCTATGTTCTCAATTTCAGGCAAAACATAGTTTGACCTACCATAATGTGTGGACTGTAGTGATTTATGGTAGTGCTGGAAAGCAGCTAATTCAAGGGCGTAGCCTGCAAAGGAAGTAGCAAAATCAGACGAAAATATGTCCACTCTGTTAGATAAATCACAAACTAAAAGCTTAACGTGTACCTTTTGACCAATAGAGAGCAGCAGGGGGCGCAGCCAGAGGTTTCGTAAGGGGAGGGGGGGGGCACAGGATTGACAGAGGACACCCTGATAGTAAAATCCCCCCCCCAAATCACCTCATATGACCCATTTGTTATCGAAGATATGTTTTTTCGTATTAAGCTCAGACCAACACGGAACTGACAGTTCGTTGTTTGCGATCTCTGACCGAAATAGAGGAGTTTTCTGTCTCAGGGGTCTCCATCGGTGCCAAAGATCATTTTACTGACATTTGAGATCACGGCCCTACGAGCGGGGGTCCTTAATGTGACCTACAGCCAGCCCTTCGGACTCTTCTAATCTTATATTAGTATTTGGTCTGTTATATTAGTCTTTGGTCCATATTTGGTGTCGAGAGACCCTTCGGCCCCTCTTTGGGCCCCCTCAAAATCGCTCTGACTCGGGGCCACTTGCCGCCACAGTTCGAGACGGTGGCCCCTAACCGGCACAGAAGCCCTTCATTGTACCAGGGACCCCGAACATTACAAATCGCGAGCCCCGGCCTTGTTTCTGCTTGGGAAATGGGTCTCAAGGGCTCAGGCGGACATGGAGCCGACTGTTCGGTGTTCGTGGTCTCGGACCGATTGTCTCAGGGGGGGGGGGGGGGGGGGGTGATCCTAAAACGATGCAAGGGGACCTCTGAGTAGTATTTTAAGTCACGACCCTCCGGGCCGCGATTCTTTACGTGACCTACAGTCAGTTCTTTAGACCTTTACACCCCCCCAAACAGGCCTTTGATCGTCGGTTCCGGTGTGCTGTTCAAAAGTGCTGTTCAAAAGTTGAAGAATGATGTACATTTAATCTTGGGTGTTTTTGGTTCATCTTTAGCACGCATTAGCAGTTATGAAATGTCGACAGCCAGATGCAAGTATTTCACCACCTTGCCAATATTTATTGATGCTTTGAATGGTCATTCTTTCCGCATGTCAATTTACAAAATTGTAAGATAAACGGCCTAGACTGCTTAGCAAGCGCGCGGGCTGAACGAGTAAAACGTTTTAAAACGCCTTCTGTTTCATACGCAAGCGCGCGGGTTTATCGAGTGAAACATTTTAAAACGCCTTCTGTTTCATACTTTGTAAGCCTTTGGCTTTCGTTCGGGCTGGTCAGGTGTTGCCGATATGACATAACCGGTGTACTGGCTCTAAACACTAGGGTCAGTGGGTCTGATTGGCATGAAAACAAACATGACGCTATTTTGGTGGTGGGTTCAGGGTATACGCGACACACAATACTTAGCAAGTACAAGCAATGTGGGATTCGTCTCATCATTTTATTACCGCCTCCTACCCATCTTTAAGAAAGCCATTCATTTGCCATTCCTCTTAAATCTGTATTATTTGCCCTTGCGATTTGGAGACCTGCGATGAATAAAGTGTTCGCTTCTAACAACGTCCCTTGACCAAGTGATGTAATGCTGGCTTGTGATGGAAAGTGACATTCACTTCATGGAAGAAAGCATGGCGGCCAAAAAGGTGGCACTCCAGGAACTGATAGATTTTTGGTACATAGACTTGATGACATCGTATGCATGCATTTTATGTGTGAACAGACATGTGAACAGGTTTGACGGGTTTTGCGTGATTGATCTTTGGTAATCTTGACGCGCGTCTCGCATATGTCTGGATTACGTGTTTTTGCAGGGGGTTGGTTTCCTTTACCGGTGGACGACTTTAACTCCCCACCGACTTGTGATGCAGGCAATCCCAATTCAGTGGTCAGCCCTCTCTTCCCAGTTTATGGCGTCTGCCCTGGCAGGAAGGCTGGACCAGGCAGCAAATCGAACCCCGTACGTCTGGTTTCCTATACGCGCGGCTTAACGTATGTTTCTCTACTTGTTTGGTACAGTCAAAAGGCAACGAACATGTGTTGTGTTTTAAAAATGCTCGTGCTCACTGTTACAGGCACCAATCACACCGTTTGAAGTTATTCAGCATGCCACTAGCAAAGATGGCATGTTTATACTGGTGAAGTTTAGTGGCTTCAGGTAAGAGCATACAGTGTCCCGATCTCATCGAGCTAACAAGTGATCCTTGTTGGTAGGACCCCAGTGAATGACACTCGTGCATTGCGTTTCGTTTGAACAGCCGTGAGCCGATTTTCAAGACATTCGATGAAAGACTGAATGACTTGAGGGCTTCGTCTGTGCGTTTCTTGGCATAGCTGTTCAGGGCATGAATAAACCGATATATACATTGTTATACTTACCTGAAAATGAGCATGGGCGGTGCCGAGATGGGAGGCAAACGGGCTGTCCGATCCCCTTTTCTCCAAAGACCTCGACAAAACCCATGACCAACGTGCGTGCCGTGGAAAACCCTACGACCCATGCGCCCAGCGGCCCATTACCCAACCAAGCAAAAGATGGTAGTCAATGGACTATTTTTGCAGTGAACGCGCAAAGGACCAATGCTAAATTTTCAGAAACATGCAGGTTTTAGCCCCTGCCCCTATTCATCCCCGGGTCCCTTACCCATGTCTTGCAGTGGTGCAACCAAAGACACGTGGGCTGTCTATACCTATGAGCGTGCCCTGGGAAAGCGTGGCTTTTCGGCGATGCTAGCAACCAGCCCTGACGTCTTCCATGCTGATGTGTTATGATCGTTAGGCGAGGGTATGATTGTACGATAAAAGTAGCGTCATGAAATGTAATGAAACGGGTCTCCAGGGTGACTCCAGGGTCTCCTAAATGCTTTCTTTCCTCGCGCATGAGAAAATGGTCGTATAGAATAACAGCCAACGTTTCTTTGCTTGATTTTACAAATACAGAATTATCTGACCATTCTTAAGGCCCGTTCTGGCCACTCCAGGGCCCCTCAAGTTTTTCCGTGTGCCACTCCTGGTCACTAGTTGTCTTCTGCTTGCCTAATTGGCGTGCATTCTCACGTTTTTCTACTTATTTCAGAGTTCCTACATGGGTTTCGAGAGAAAGAGTGCCTCTGAGCGTAATCCGGTCATATTTTGAGAAAGGTTGGTGCATGGTTAAAAAAATGTTTCTTAAAGCATTGAGTGAAGCGTGAGCAGCAGCATAAGCTGAGAGCATCAGATCGCACAGTGCCCTTTGAAAGTAGGTGTGGCAACCAAGGGTGATTGTGCTCTGTTTTGGGTTTAAAACTGATCAGTGGTAGATACCACCTAACAAAATAATGTGTCATGGCGTAGACTGTCTGTCATTGCTGCAAATCCCAACTGCTCTGCGCGGGAAATTTGCTCATTGCTTTGTTTCGTAACGTTTTGCAGCTTGTGTGTCTTCATTGTTTTTTGCTTGCTTTTAGTTGGATATAAAGTGGTTCTTTTGTACTTGCCAAGATACCAGTCATCACGAACATTTTTGTTCCGTCCATGAAGGAAACTGTTCATAGAATTTGAACATACGCATGGACACACGCACCAACGTGATCCCATGTAGTAGGCATCACAGAGTAACTGTGGCCAACCATGCACTTGCCCGTACCCTGGCACCGAGCGGGGTCAGTAGACCGACGCCCCATAAATCGATGTCCCCTTGGTTAAACAGCCGCTTGGCCATGTGGCTTAGTTGGCTAAGGCGTTGGCTTCGGAGCCCAAAGTACCCTAGTTCGCCTCTGACCACCGGCGCATTGTGTCTCGGTCCCCTCGGCATAAGAATCGCAACTCCGGTAGGTCTGGCACTGTAGCGCATCGTTGAGTAACTCGAACGATCCTGCTTCCGACGTTCTGGTTTTTTGTTTTCGTTTTTGCTTAATACTCGTCATTAGGTAACCAATGGCGATCGGTCTGTCCGCAGATCATGATAATTATGCTTCTGGCCTCATTCCTGATGACGATGAAGATGAAGATCGTACGTACCTCCCCGACCCACGGCCAGCAGCGGACACGGACGAGGACGAGGACCAGGACATGGACGAGGACATGGACGAGGACGAGGACAAGGGCAAGTCCAAGGATATGGACGAGAACCAGGATATGGAGGAAGTCAAAGACGAGAACGAGGGCGAGGACCAGGATGAGGCCCAGGTAGTGGCCAAGAACAGCAGTAGGGCTTCCGGCGAACACAGTGTCTCTGTTGAAAAATCTCCTAAAGCAAGAAAGCCATCCCTAAAGCGGAACGTTTGCCCCTATTGTGATACCCTGCACAAAAAATTTGCACGCCATCTTTTCCGGAAGCATAAACGAGAACCCGACGTACTTGACGCGCTCGCCTTTCCAAAAGGATCAAGGGAGAGGAGAATCACTCTGGAAGGTATCATTCATAAAGGCAACTTCAAACATAACTGCTGTTTTCCGAGATGGGCGAGGAACGATCGTCCCCAGGAGGCGTCCACCCCAAGATATGAATGTCAACGTGAAAGATATGCTGCCATGTGGGAAATTTCACGGTGTCTTTTCCAGACGCGGCCTCTTTCGGCATCGGTGCCACGCCCATGGGAAAACTGCCTCTGGGGGCCGAGTCCAGTCCCAGGGAAGATCCTTGCTGTCGTGCCACAGAGATGCCGCGGCTGGTTTAGAAAACCTGATGGCGAAGATGCGAGACGATAGTATTTCGTCCACTTGCAGGCATGATGCCTTTATCATGGAGTTCGGGGCCCGTCTATACACAAGATTGGGCCACGAGCGCCACTAACATGCACACATCAGAGCAAAAATGCGGCAGCTAGGACGACTGCTGCTGGAGCTGAATGCATCAAGCCCAGGATCAGGTCTAGATATGTTTATTCACCCCGCGAAGTTCATGGAAGTGGTAGGCGCGGTCAAGAACATGGCCGGTGTGAAGGAGGGCAAATATCATAGCCTATCGCTTGCTCTCAAGCTTGGTTATGGCCTCAGCGAATGCGCGCGCATACTGAAAACGCGCGGGATCACCAACGAAGACGCCACCCCGAGGACGGCTGCGGACGATTTCCTCCTGCTCTACCAACGAGATTGGAAGCTACACGTGTCTTCTCGTGCGCTTACCACTCTCTAGGAAAGGAAGTGGAATAAGCCCGTCGGCCTTCCCCTCAATGCGGATGTTCAGAGTGTAACGAAGGAGGTGCGGGATGAGTTGGTGCAGGCTCAGCGGCTGTTGGAAGAGGAACGCTCTATCAAGAACTATGTTAAATTGTCGGAGACTGCGTTGGCATCCATCATTTTGTTTAACCGGCGAAGGCCGGGAGAAGCGTCAAGGCCTACGGTCAGATCATACACTGAAAGGGACCAAACTCTCAATGAAGATGTCCTGCAGCACCTGTCTCCCTTAGAGCGAGAGCTATGCCATTCGCTGGGAGATGTAGTGGTTCGGAGTAAAAAAGGAGGCGATGTGCCCATCATGCTGACAGCCACAATGCGAGGGGCGCTTGATCAGCTGATCGCAGCGAGGAAAGACGTTGGGATCCCTCTCGACTGTCCACACATTTTCTTCAACAGCGCAGCCCCAGTTGCGAGCATGCTCAGAGGCAGCGACTGCGCGCGGACATTCGCGCGGAGGTCAACAACATCACAGTCACGAAGTACAGAAAGCATGTGGCTACTATGCTGCAGCTGCTGCAACTGAGCGAGATTGAAATGGATATCGTGGCCCGCTTTATGGGCCATGACATACGGGTCCACAGGCAGTTCTATAGACTTCCCGAAAAGACGGTGCATGCTGCCAAAGTGAGTAAAATACTACTCGCGATGGCCAAAGGGATCGGCGGATTCGCAGGGAAGACCCTGGATGACCTGACCCCAGCAGTTACGATGTCGTCGAAGGTGGTTCCGCTCCCAGTGTCGACATAAACGACAGCGCTAGCATTATTGCCCCTGACGACATGGGAGTGGAGATGGGGGTGAAGAACGCTAAAGGGATGGCTTCCGATCCCCAAGCTGAAGCAGAAAATGGACCACCCAGGGGGCCAAGGATTAATGAAAGAAGGCCCAAAGCCAAAAGGAGGGGCGTGCTGTGGACTGAAAGAGAAAAGGAGGCTATACAGAGGCGCATGGAGCCATTTATCGGTTCTCTGAAGTGCCCAGGAATGGCAGACTGCCTAGCGGCACTGAAGGAGAAGTCTGCACTGTGCCGGCGTTCCTGGAAGGATGTTAAGTTCTGTGCATACAATGTGATCCAGAAGCACAAGTGTACCATGGAAATGTAGTTTCAGCTGAAAGCTTGGAATGCTCCATATCTAGATCCCCTGCTGCGTTGTGTGCAATCGCTGCCTTGCGGTGGCAATGCTCTTTTACCTGCAAGCTCGAGAGGCTCCGGACGTTAGATCCTCTGTTGTGTTATGTTGCGACCCCTGCTTTGCGGTGTGGTTGTTTGACCCGTTTGCAAACAAAAGAAACCTTTTGCACAAGAGTGTGTTTGTGGTGGACTGTGATCGGAACTGATGGATTTGCTGTCTCATGCTGCCCTCCCCACATGGAAATAACACAAAAACTTAAAACGAATAGCAGAAAGCCCACGTCGGGAGACCTCAACATTGCCTCACAGATTGCAGTAGTGACCTATGTCAAGAAGTTTGAAACCGATTTTGTGACCTGCATAGCTGACTGACCTGACCTGCCCCAGATCGTCGTCGATCTGGACTCGTCGATCATCGTCGATCAGGACTATCGATTGATCGTGGTTGTCGTCGTCATCATTGGGGCTTTACGACGCACTCACCTGCTGAGGGCATATGGCGTCGCCTGACTAACCAAGGCAGTGATTTGTTATTGTGATTGTTCTTCATCTATGCCGTGGGCTGGTCAGACAGGTACCGGCCAGGTACCCAAGACAGGGATAATGAAAAGACAGCGGAAGAACTCGGAATGTTGAAAAATTCATGGAGGTTCAGATTTTTGTACTGTTCTCATTTTACGCATTATTCACGCTTTGAAATCAACCGCCTTAATGTGATGTAATACCACATAGTTTGGCAACTTTTAATTCGCACACAATGTTGCGCGTCCTGTCTTGACAAAGTTTTGGCGTCCACTTGTTGGAAAAAGTTTCGAACGCAGACGAAGAGACATAATTTTGGACTGTAATGAACAAGGCGTAACATGTAGCATAAAAGTAGGCATAAGAAGTGAAAATCATCTGTTGCAAACCAAAAAATTGCGTGTAGCTCTTGCCATGCGTCAAATATAACATAATATAATACAATATAATCAAATATAACAATATAATGCAACATAATGGGAACATCACATAACATTACAATAAGCTACAAATATAGCAGTGTATACTGCAATATAATGCAGATATAACAATATAATACAATATAATACAAATATGACATGATATAGCACAGATCAACAAATATCACGGCTCCTTCCAAAACAAAGGATGTGCAGGCAAGGCATCAGCAACCAAGTTCCATTTCCCTGTCAGTTGGTTCGCCAACGTGACCGAAGCGACGTTATCACCCAAATTCCCTTTCTTTCCATGCCATAAATGAGGGCAATTCAGATACACATTACAATGCGGAGACCGGTCCCTAGCTTGATAAGTGTAAGGCGTATGACGCACCTTTGACGTCATATTAGCTGGTCCCCGCTTCGCAGCATCCTACGGATATTGATCCCTTATCGCTAGACCTACGAAATGCTTACCATCGCACTCTTCGGGTTTTCAGCAGCACTAAGATGTTAATTTCGTAACGCTAGCTCATGTTTAAAGAGGTGTGTAAGTGGTCCCCACTCTGAAGTAGTCTAGCGCGGTCCCCACTTGGGAGGGATTACAAACAGGGGTGTGTGTGTGTGTGTGTGTGTGGGAGCGCGCGCGCGCAGTGCCATAGACTTGCCGCCTTCGGGTGTAAAGCAAAACGCTATGAGGAGGAATTTTTCCCTCTTTTTCCCATATTTTATGCGAATTTTTCACTTCTGTCTGAAATCGTCTAATCGCACGTGCCACACCCCTATTTCCCTTTCTGAGGTTTTACAGATGTCATCAAAAACCAAGCTCACTTGAAACCACCAAGCACAAATGAGGCTCCGCAGAACCTGGACGCCTATGGCCATGAACTGCCTCATCTACATCTGAATCATGTCTATGTATGCACAGAGCAATGGCGCCAGGTACCTCCAAGCCCCAGAACCCCAGCGACCCCAGCCGCCACACCACGAAAGCAGAGCCTGGTGCAAACACCAGCAAGGCCGGGTAGATAATTTTACTCCACGCGCTTCATTTTTCCCGAGCAAACTTGAACACTAAACTGCATCACTCCCGAAATGCATGAGTGAAAAGTTCAGGAAATGTCTTTTAAATCAAACTTGCAAGATGAAAATCACCATTTCAGCACTTATATTAACAGATTTTAAGCCAAATAGGCTGATTGCAAAATTTTGCGAGAAAAGTACCCGTCTTTATATTTAGTTAGCTACTTCTGTTTTTCTTGGTATCATATCAGTGTGATAACACTTAATTCTTCCTTTCTTTTCGATTGCCTTTAGAGGTACCATCTGTTGCTTAAGATGTTGACCAATTTCTCTGCAAGATGCTCCAACTGCAGACTTGTACGCATTTCATACTTAAATCGGATTAATTCGCCAGCCGCCCAAACATGTTTGACATGCACCCAAGCGTGAAGAATTCAGAGGGAATGAAGGAGACAATTTGAAGCACGGAACTTATTTTTAACACCATTTTTGCCCTCTTAAACCTTCGGTTAACTGTTTTCTTGGTTCATGGCGGCGCTCAATAAGGGTAAATCCAAGCCTTTCGAGTGTCTGACTTACCAGGCTACCTGGCAAAGCTATTATAATGCTGGCATACAGAGCCTTGGGATAGACCTGACGCAGCTAATACAGAAGTGCTTGATGACGAAATTCTGCCTTCTGGAGATGTTTATCATGCGGACCTCTTACTTGTTTCGCATTTTAATCTCGAAGGTTGGTGGGCATGATTGATATTTATGTTTGGGGGGGGGGGTCGGATGACTGCCAGCAGACCATGCAGAAGGTACTGATTTTTTTGTGTTTGGGTGAGGAGGAAGAAGCCGGTAAGTCTCCTGTGGACCAAGTAATTGCTTACCTTAGCTGCTTTCAACACATGATTGGTAACCAGAGTTAGCCATTTTCTTTTTTAATACATCGAGTTTTGCCTTAAGACAAATCATGATGCCGCAAGGCACGCAATGGGCTTATTTTGTTACATGTTCTTGGTTTTTTCCCCACATTTCTTAAAGTGGTCCCTCATGGCT